CCCATGCCAAGAATCGAATCCCGGTCACCCAGCCTGTAGTCTAGTCACCATACTGACGGAGCTATTCAGGCTCAAGTTAGGTCTAAGTTAGTTAACTTAACAGCTAATATACTTATGTAATAAGTAAGACTGTTAAGGGTTTAACAAGTTCGTTTTTTAGTTAACACGTTAATTCACTGTTTCGATAATTATTGAGTTGCAAAGTTGGTTCATTGGTTGATAAATAAGGATGTAAGTTAGTTAATTTATTAAGTAGTTACTTCACTAGTAAGGCAGTTAGTTACTTCATTGGTTCGGTTATAAGTCCTCAGTTCGTCTTGTTTGATGAAGCAGGAACATGTCTCGTTTTCACGGGAAGCAGGCTGGTTCACAGTTCGCTCATCCAAAACCGTATTTCCTGGTTCACAGAACGGATCATGTTTTGTTAGCCTTAATTGCAGACAGCAGCCTCGGTTATCTGCACCAGCAATCAACATGGGAGTTGCAGATGCTCGTTTCTTTACCAGCAGTAGCCATTAGTTACCCAGCTGAAGAAATTTCATAAACAGAACCCCACGGTTAACAAGGACATACCACCGGAACATGCAGTTCACATACTTCACGCCCTGTTTCTTAGTGATACGTTTTAATACTATCCTATCTAAATTTAGGACCTCCTAGTTATATTTTTCCTTCAGGTTTTACGATTAAAATTGTGTATGCAATTCTTACTTCTCCCAAACGTGCAACACACCCGCCTCATCCTAGTTTGTTTAATCATATTCATAATATGAATTGAAGAATACAAATACATTATAAAATTCCTCATATGCAACTTGCTTCATTTTCCTGTTCCTGCTTCTCCCTGAATTCCAAATACAGTATTCCCCTCAGAACTTCGTTCTAAAATGTCCTCAGTCTATGCTCTTGTCTTCGGGGTCAGTGACCATGTTTAACGTTAATGAAGATATTGGATTTGATAAAACAAATATTTTCTTCAGATATCACAAAATATGCCCGCTGCTCTATTAGGCTGAGAGATCGACCAGTCACAAACCCTCGAACGACAATGCAACGGAAGCTATAAGGCATAATTCAAGCACCAAATGGAATTCGAACCAGCGATAACAAGGTTCGAGCAGTCCCAGAAAAAAGTAACTAGATGTGGGTTTGGTTCTGACGGTGGCAGAATCTCCTCTTTGCTGCGTACCGAGACTGACTCAAGGGCCCACAAAGAAAGGATTGGCTACGAAGAAGACGGGGGAGGAAGAGACGAAAAAGGGCGGCAGGAAAATGAATGAGCACAAAAGAATAAAAGGAGAATACAAAGGTGATGAAAGAATAGAAAATGAAGAAGAAGGAAATTATTAAAAGACAAGTTTTCGCATTCTTTTAGACATTTTTTCAGTGCAATAGCCTTCTTTATAAGCCTCTTTTAAAGTCTCCTTTCCTTCCTCATTCAACGTCTCTTTGTCGACACAGCGCCACAACCACAGAAAACTACAGACATTTTGACCGCAGTGAAAACATCTTATACATTCCTTTCTCTCTCATATTTCTTTCTATGAAGAAATAATGTGAACGCAGAAAAATACAAAGACAAGTGAAGTGTGAAAACTCAAACTATCTTCGGCCCACACCACGGAGTACATTCGTTAACACAAATTTTCACATACAAAAAGAATTGCAAGAAAGAGTACTGTTGCTATCATAACAGAACACTAAGATCCGTTACCATAATTCTAAACTGTTCATACCAAATGTCCTTTCATTTGTGACAATACAGATTACCGAACGTCACAGCCAAGTAGTTCACACTCCTACTTCGTTCAGGAGATTCCGAGTCTCAGCCTGGAAAATGCCCGGCTAGTACCTCAACCTAGGTCACGACATCGTCTCTCTGTATCATTTTCACTAATCATCCGATCATTCGACGCTATTTAATCTGAGCTACAGACAGCATCATTAACATAACCATAAATAGCTCAAGATAGAAATATTGCATGTTCCTCCGAAACGTTCCTATTTATCTACAAGACCACACGGCGTTACAAGCCATCAATGTACCACATGATGTGATGGAACCGCGATGTCGTTTTTTCCGGGACTGGTGAGTTACAAAGTATGCATCTAGAGTAATCGTCTATGGCATAAAGTCCATACCAGATTTCGTTAAAATCCATACAGAAGTTATCTCGTTATTAAATACGCACGGACGGATACCACAGGCATGGTTTAAGATTGTTGGGTTGGGATAGGTTATGTTAGTAATGCTAAGTTAGGTTAAGTTGTGATAAGTATGTGCAAAGAGGTATGAGTAAAGGCGAACTCGCCTTCCCACCTCATAAGGTTTTCTTCGCCTATACATTACGTAATTAAACGTCCACTATCATACCCCACCAGCCGTATCTCTGATCATGAAACCCAAGTGGCAAGGTAAAATTCTAAAAGTAGTTCAGAAGCACGCATGAGTTTGACAGATGACACACAGAGCACGAATTCTGGAAAATGGCTTCGCAACATAGTCACAATAGGTCCTACACTACGCACATGGACACACGAATAAATCATACTCTACTGGAAATAAAGCCAAAGCCACTACCCGGTTTCATGGTTAATTCTTCTCAATTCAGCGAAACATTAATGCACATGTATCAAAATAAAAATCAGTTTCAGCAAACATCAACAAAAACACTTAACTGACCTTTCTTTGCCGTCTCTTGGTATTATCACGTTATGATTTATCATTCAATGGTAAACAATCTGAACGTTTAAGTCAGTGCCGTTAAATAAACGAATAAACACGACTGTCGCATAATATTCGACGTTAAATACTCTGCCCTCCAACAAATCACCACGCCACAGAATAACTGAATCACACTGCCAATTGACATCTGCAGTCTCCGTGCACGGCTGCCCTGTTAATCTATTATAAAATGCTAGGATATCTCACTATTTTCTACAATAGAAGACAAAACTTTCATTGTCACTAACTAATTTAAACATAAGTTAATTTAACATGGAGGGAAGTGTAATTGACGGGTGGTAACAATAGACTTACGTAAATTTGCCATATTTCGATAAACAGCATAGTAGTAAAAATACAGTGGTCTGTCCAAATAAGCATATATATATATATATGCTGTATGCTATGCTCACGGCCTCAATAAGAATTATGCTGTTGATGATAGCCTTCATAGTAATGCCACTGGAACTTGTACATACTAATGTAAGGGAGAAACATCAACATTTTCACCACCATTAGATCTCAAATCTCATACAAGAATTAGATTAATTCCTGTATTCCCATTACACATTCATTCCTGTGTTTCTACGAAGAATTTTATCATCCCTGCATTCCCAAAAGGCATTAATTCATGTCTACATTCCAAAGAACCGAGAAGCCGAGGTAGTTCAGTCAATATAGTGAATGACTACGGAATGGACGACTGGGGTTCGATCCCCTTACTGTAGCAGAGGATTTTTCCTCTAGCCTCCAAGTGTAGACTGACTCTGGGGCCCATCCAGCTTCCTGTTTAATGGGTACCAGGGGGTAAAGCGCAGCCGAGGTGTGACTCTAACCACTCACACCCACCTAGTGCTGAGGTTAGGAATGAGTAGGAGCTATACCTTCTCTCCCCCCAAGCGCCTACATGGCATATTGTGGGACAGATACCACTGAATTCATTCCTGCATTCCTAGTAGTGTCAGCAAACTAAAGCCCAGAAACGAATACCAGCACATAATTAAAGGCAATCTGTATAATAAGAAGCTGCAAGTAACCAGATAGGATGGTTGGGTGTGGTGCATCTAGCCTCAGGCATCGCTAGCCTGGAGCTACAGAGAGAGGAAACACGTCTTACAGATGAGGCCAGCATAAGTTGGTTTCTAGGTCAACCACTCTACTATCTCCACCTGACACACATCTACAGCATCCAATACATTCTTATAATTATGACAGTTCATATGCTGACACTGCTACTATAGAATGTGAATATAATGCAGAGAGAAGCCGCAGTCAGGAATGCGTGTGTCCGTCTCCACAGGGCAGTATAATAACTACTAATAAATGGATCTCTGGCCAATTCAAGCAATCAAATTTTCTACTGCTTTGGAAAAAATTATTGATCACTACATCACAATTCAGTCCACTGGTACTGTCCTGTGCCAGGCCATAATTATACAACTTATTTCCTTTGATACAAATTTTAATACTGTAATATGACCCTAGCTACATCTATGTCTTGCTAGCAGTAAAATCCTGAAAAACCTGTCAAGAGAGGCTGTAATCAAACCAAGACTCAAACCCAGCACTTTCAAAATACAAGTTTAGGGCATTACCAGTGGACCAACCCACCCAGAATCTGCATATGGAAAGCATTTGATTAGAATATCTGCTACATGATGAAGCTTCATAACATTATTCATAATATTAGCCATATTCTTACTTGGCTTCACAGCGACAGCATAAAACAACTAACACATCTGGACTTAGCACGTGTGCAAACAACAAAAACCAAAGTGTATAACTAGAAAGTATAGCTCTGGTCAAATAAAGAAGGAATAAATTATTATTAAAGCAAATTTAAAACATCTGTCTGGATGAACAGGCCTTCACTATCACCTTGCTTTTAATGTTGGATGCACCACATGCCAGAATGGAATCTAGAATGTGTGAAGCCTTACCTCCATGCCCAATATATAACTTCATGGTATAGTGCATAAGTGCAAAAGGTGCAGCTTTACAGCTTACCTTTCCAGCAAAGTACAGGTTCTTTCTTCATTTAATGATGCTGTCATGAACATGGATAGTGTGGGATGAGGAATAACAAGTCAGTCATGATGTCCAGCCGGAAAGGATACTGGAAGAAATGTTCATAGTCTACTTTTAAGGTTCTACCTGAGAATTTTCATGAAGAGACTGAGGAAGTAACACAAATCATAATGACAAAATCAGTGTCAAAAATGTTTAAGGTCACAATTTTGGAACAGAAGGTTTTAATTTAAGATAACACAGGACAAACATAAAATTAATATTTATTTGTGAGTACACTTTTCAATTCGTTTCCATAACATTTTGCAATAACTACACCTTACAGCTTTTCTGTCTCATGTGGGCTGTAGGCAGGCCAAATTCAAATGCAGTATCCACCCTATGAAAGATGATTTAAAATGACGATAAATTCATATAAAGAACAGTCCAGATTATCTGACCTAAAGAAAACTGAAAGACGGTTAGATAGTCAGAAATGTTGGACAATACAGAAGACTAATGAAAAAGACAAGGGTAAATATCAACTCAAAATCAATATCAAATTATGAAGAAAATACAATATGGTGTCAAATTAAAAAAAATCTAACAGACAACAACAGTATTTAACATAAAGTAAATTTGTAAATGAAAGAATTAATTTTTTAAGAAATCAGTAATGGGTTTCTGCTTCTGAGCGTTAATATAAAATGGAATGGCAGATAACTGAAGGTCGGATAATCGGGACTCCACTGAATATACAACATTATTTACATCTGATTACAATATAGCCAGTTATGCAACACACATTTCAAGTCTCCATATTTGATTGCTGATGCCCTTATTCCTTTCTTTAACATCAGAAAAGCAAAAGCTAACACATGATAAAGAAATATAATGTCATAAAGTGACAAAACAGCAAAAGATGTAATTAAGTGATGAAACACAAAGTATCATATTTTAATTATGTGTCAAAATATCAAGATAGAATGCAATGAACTGACAACATGAGATTTCAGGTTCTCATGACAGTGAGTATGAAGATGACTGTGATACTACGCTGTGTAGGAGACCATATGCCACGACATCCCAGAAGATGGTCATCTTCAAATGATTAAATATTACATAAATGCAATACTAAATTTCACTTCTATGTTAACAATTTTTTATAAAGTTTCATATAAAATCTGGAATAAGGATTTGGTGATCACGGCCTATTTCAAGGAAATATCCAAACATTCACTAAACAGACAGAGAAAGAACACCATAGAGCTCAGATATTCCAGTACGTTGCTGCAATTTCAACCAGATTCTCTCAAACACAAGTCTTGGAACATTACTGCTACATCCACCAACTCGATCAAATTCCTTCACATTTGGACTACATACGTAGGCTTGCAGGCTGATTATCAACAGAAAGGAAACTAAGATAGCATTACATTACATCAACACATCAAGCAAACATAAAGATATCTTACCACATGTTAATCATCATCTTCTTCCACCCGACCAGCTGCTGCTTCCACATAACTTATGGCCATCTGACGCACCTTTTCCACACCTTCAAGTGTACCATGTTGTTCTTCAAATTGCAAAAATTTGGCAAAAAGGGATTTCATCTTACGTGCAGGCAATTTCTGTGCCACTCCACGTTCCAGTACTTGCCTGTAATAGCCAACATAAAAGATTTTGTGATCTTTGCAGAAAATTCATTAAATAAATGCATAATGTAAAGAACATATCCATATGTTTCATCATCCATGGAACTGTACACTTACAACTTTAGTGAATAGTAGTTAAATATTATCTTGAGGTTTCTAAATGTAATCCTTCGCCTGCCAAAAGACAAGATGTAATTAGCTATCCAGCTTTGTATTCTAGAGGTCGCAAGATGCACATCTGTCCAGAGACAAAGCTACACTGACATAGCAATCCTGATATTTTCAGGAAATTGATGGTATATCATTTTCAAACAAGACACTTAATTCCAATTCATCATCACAATCACCCATCATTTCACACTATACACCCTCAGCATTTAATACAGCATAATAAAATAACCAACTACAAGTAATAATCAAAGTGAGACACTCCTGGTGATAAAGTGTGCTAGGTAATGTTACTTTTGAGTCTACTGACTATGTTTCATGCAATGAAGGATGACATAGAGGCAAAGCTCCATATATTCTAGACCTTGGCACAAGAACATGGAAGGACTCCATGAAGTTGGGAAATAAGTGATGGGGCAGGGAGGAGAATAGAAATGGCCCAGAATCATGTCCAATGGCAGGCTTTGATATTTGTTGTGCTTAACCTTTCATTTCTGTGCCCAGAGTGTTAGTTAATTGATTCTTAAGTATTTTAACAGTGCTCTTTCAACTGCAAAGATATACTTAAGATCAAATCGGTTTGAAAGATGATCATGAATGGTATGTAGGTAAGGATTTTTTGAAGGAAACAATCATGGCCTATATCAAGGTAATATCCAGAATTTTCCTGGATGAAGGCAGAGAATAAAAAACCATTACAACAGCTGGTAATTCAGCCAAGATTCAAACATTGAACATCACAAACTAAGTTTCGAGCACTACAACTAGCAGTCTCATGTTTCTTTCTCTCCCTGTGTTCAACAACTATGAGAACCTGCTTGTACTGCCAAGTGTTTGAATGGAGCTCAGTGAGGTGTCCTGGGGCCATGAGAGTCAGAGACAGCAGGTGTGCTTGTTCCGCATCCTGATGGATGAAGTAGGCCATGGCTCCATTCAACTTTTTTCAAGGTGCAGAGAAATAAGAATGTACCTGTTTACATGCAGTTGGCCACTTTGATCAGAATTGGCAAGCAAGTCACATGATCAGAAATATTAGAAGACTAACTATAAAGAATTGCCAATGGTAAAAATTTCCTAACCCAAACACATTCTGAACAAACTGAACACAAAAGCAGCAATTTCTTTTTTGTTTCTTTTCTTTTTTTGTCAAATAATGATAAGTCATTACCAAAAATTCACCAAATGGTTTTGAATACCTGAGATAAATCTAAGAGAGAGACAATTGCACAAAAGAAGCTAAAAAAATTAGACTTTAAATCAACAAGGGTGCAATGGGTAGAATACACAGCATGAATGAAGTAACAAGAAGTGCACACCAAATTCTGCTCAAAAATGAAAGGTAAAGAAATAACTTAGCAGTCACAGAAATAGCTGAAAGGCTAATATTAACTGACGTTGTGAGGATGTGAATTTGATTGAGCTAGCTCATATAACTGTATATCGGCAGTCTCATGCGATGACAATGATAAACAAATCAATTGTTGCAAGCCTTATCACACTACTGTCATCACACAGCACAGGCAGATATTATTTTTACTTAAATTTGTTAAATATCCAACATGCTCAAAAACAGAATTAAAATTTAACAAGATTGTGTATATAATTTATGCTATGCCCCAACATTAATTGAATGTACATAAAATAAACAGTTTCTGAAAAATCTGATTAATTAAGCTGACATAAAGTAGAGGTTATACTTTACAAAACAAGCCAAAATTAAACCCCTTCAACATATTTTAGTGTTGACATTTAATACTTAATTTTAGGAACATCTGAGAAGTTCAAGAAATATAATGTGGACAGACAGGCATGACCTCACTGTAAGTATTCAGTTCATTCACTCTGTGCGAAGAATGGTTAATAAATACTATTCTTCAACAAAATAATCCTTCCTTAAACTAATGAAGTCAGTCAGGTCAGATGAAAATGGATAGACAGTTGAATTCATCTTTAGATCCAGAAAGCAACAACACTTATTTCCTAACCAGTCCACTGCCAGCTATTCATCACACTTGCAGACAGGCAGACTGATATCCACTGATGATGATACCCCTTTGTCGGCTTGACGACCTACTCAATGTTATACTGCTGGATCAGGTATTTATACATGTAAGAATGGCACATGAGTTTTATAGGTTACTGAGGCAATACACAATTGATATTCTAGAAAGGTAAAACCTAAGTAAAACAGAATCTCAGTTGAATACAAAACTAATATAAAGTAAAACTGCCGACAGTAAACGAAAATTGTTCATTTCAAAAAACAGAAAGAAAAAGAATTTAATGTAACAGTCAACTTGAAGATTTGTTGTTTTCACACAATTTTGTTTGCAACTGTACTTCCTGGAGTTTATTCTGCAACTGAGCGTGCCTATTAAAAAAATGAATAGAATATCTTAGTCGATTGCTAGAAAAAGGATGTATAAAAGAGAGAACGTAAAGAAAGAAGAAAAAGAAGGAAAAACAAAAAATAAATAAAGAAAATGCATATTGTTCACTAATCGTATGTACACACTTGTTTTTGCTTGTGATTTATGTTAGAAACACAGTGGACACGTACTGTGCAACATGTTTTATCTGTAAGAATATTACTATGTTAACTGAAAACTGTCTGAAACAGGAAAATTTCTTTGTCACTAGACAGTAAGTTTAAGTGCAACACACTTTCTATTAATGACCACATTCTGTGAAGTACAGATCTAATTTATCAGAAGCAAAATGAATACTTATGACAGCGACCACCCAACTCCGTCTAGTGCTAAATTGTAAAATGCATGGAGCTTTATACAACATACAATCCAAAATAATTTTGTCATGGAAAGTTTTCTGTTGTATTCTTATTGTTCTCAGCTTTGTAAAAGAGTGCCTAAATCAAGAACAAACATAAAATATTTCCCATCAAGATATGTCATATTCCAGGATATTTATAAGCTATAACTTAGAA